CATTAGCATCTTTTTTCTTGGTAGTTTTTTTTTTCTTTGTTTTTGTTGTATGCACGAGCTACCGAGCGTTAGGTCACAAGGGACTCAAAGACAGTTAAACGTCCTCATTATGCACATTTTGTACCTTGCACGTTTAGCTTTAGTTCAGTTAGCGTCCATGTTCAAGTTGTGTCGTTTCTTGTATACGAAAAACACCGATAAGGTTTGTGTGTTTTGCCTCTAGATTTTGTACCTTTGGCATTTGTATTCTATTGTATCTGAAACATTTGTTCTTTTTTCTTAACTGTAGAACCGATTCTTGAGAAAACGACTTTTTCTTTTTGAACCTGACTAAGACTGAGTGTATCGTTGGTGAACTGTTCAAGAATCAAGTGAATTCGTGTCCGCGAATTCGTTTGCGTGCGGATCTTATCCAACCTCGGGTACTTTTCTGAACAGGTTCCCATTGCACATAATAAGGAGAGAGAACAGTGTGTTTCCTTATTTCACATCGTTTCCCATGAATTTATCAAAGGAAAGCCAGAGAGCAAAGGAGCGAAAAGTACTTAATTGTACGCACACACTGCTGCTGAGGAAAACTTTCGAGAAAGGAACAGAAAAATGAAAATTATCAACAGTTGCTGCCAATTCTAACCAGGTGAGTTTACCATGGTGTGATACTAGTCTCCACAAAAAACGATGGACTAAAACGGCTTTAGAATAACTCGCAAAATCTTCAAATTACACCCCCAAGAGGTAAGACAAAAATTAACTATTTCCGATTTTTTGGCATGTAGCATTTCAACATTCAGTCACCGCATGAACGCTCCACAGGAGTTTTTTCAATCACAGCCCACGGAAAGGTCTGTTTTCGTAGTTAAATGGGAGTAATCGTCAATCTTTAGACTTCATAATATACACAGGTTTCTCTCCTCTGTTCACTTTTAAATGGCAAGGAAATTGACTATGAGTAAATTCAAATGTGTCAAAAAATTTAAAAAGTTGTGATAATTAAGATGTTTGTTCCCTTTAATGTAACTGAAAATCTTTTCTTTCTTCCGCCGTTAAACTGACGTTGAATGAGGCAATTTCGCTGAATTCGAGGGAACTATTGCAGATTCCATTTACTGAATTTCTTTAGAATCCACAACGCAATTAACGGACTGAGATCAACACTATGACTAGTTGTAAAGAGGGAAGTAACGAGCAAGTTAAGAGAAAGACACTGCAAAACTGGGTAACAAGGAACTCAAAATGACATGACCTTTTGAATGTGTTATTTTTTAAAGGATAACAATGAATATAACATTCTTCCCTACCAAGCCCTTACGTTTGCGTTTACGTAACCTTCAGGAAATTGACAAGATAAGAGGTAAGGTCCTTTGGGCCTGTCTACATGGAGGTAAATACACGTATGTATTTATTCATGAAAGTGTCACACGTTGTGTTACGCGGTGTTTGGTTTCGCGAGGAACCGTTGACTTAATACGTTGTACAGAATAGTTTGGGAAACCAAATATGGTCGATTTACAGCGGTAAATATTCCGAAATGTGAATATTTTACACTCCTTGTGTGTCCGTTGCGGTTTCTGGCGATTTCTGCGATGAGACGGCTAGGAAATGGGTAATTGTGAAGAAGAGCTCCCCAAAAAACCTGTCGGCCGACAGACGGC